GCTTTTAATGAGGGAAATTGGGCCTTATGATTCGTTTTATGTCTCATATTACAGATTATGAGGAGTTTTAATGTGAGAATCTGCAATCTTTTTTTGTGGCTTAAACTTGTACCATCGATATGAAGAAGTCGATGAGTGTTTTCACTGTTCCCTGGTCATAAAAGTTATACATTAGATGTTTGAGGGTGAGATGGAATCGTAAGAACAATCAGACTCTTGGACATCTTTTCTCTTGTGTTCCTGTTTGGTTTTTGTAAAATCTTATCATTGCATAATTTTTTCTTGGGTCTCACTGTAAGATGTGACAATACAACAAAATGTGTGACGAGTCTTAGAGATAGACTTGACGCGACTATTCTGAACTTCCGTTTTTGTGTAGGATTTCATGCGATCATACAGGATCTTGCTCCTTGTTTTCTACTTGAGTTATATTCTGTAAAATATTTAGAACGTCTACTTCGACTTCAAACGTTGCTTTTGAACATTTCAGCAGTCAGTTAGTTTCGCTTCATTTCATGATGTGCAGTAGCTGATGTTTTATGAGATCGAAACAGTCGAACTCATACATGGTGGTACGCATAGATTTCTGCAACGTGAAAGCGTGTTAAAACGTACTATTATGTACGATTTAATGCTGTACAAAGGTAGCTGATTGCGGCTACCCAAGCAGACAAACATTTTCAAAAACGCGTTTAAACACATAAAAAGACTTAAAATCCAAAAAAAGTGGACGTGTTTAGCTCACCATCGCAGTTTCCGACTGTCAGCGAAAAACACCCATTTTTGCCATTTTTATGCGTTTAGACGCGTTTTCGTCAAAAAAACGCTTGTAAACGCGTATAAACGTATAAAAAGAACATAAAAAGTAGTGGTTTTTTTTCATTTTCGTGAACTGTGATTGCAATTATGATTGTGATTTACGAGTATGAAAAAGATAACAACTTTTTATGATCGTTTTATGCGTTTATACGCTTTTACAAGCGGTTGTTTGCTGAAAACGCGTTTAAACGCACAAAAAGGGCAAAAAGTGGGTGTTTTTCGCTGACAGTCGGGAACCGCGATTGCGAGCTAAACACGTCCACTTTTTGTGGATTTTAAGCCCTTTTTGTGCGTTTAGACGCGTTTTTGAAAATGTTTGTCTGCTTGGGTGTTATTCACCAGTCCCACCTATGAGTTGACATCGATAAGGAATAGTAAATGTGAACTGGTTTCAAAAAGCGGAGCGTTTAAACGTTAAAGACTCTTAGCATAGTTTAAAAATGATAATGTTAACGTCCAGTTTTTCCGACCGTGACCGGTGGTCAATCGCGGTTTCCGACTGTGAGTCAGAAACAGGTGGAAAGATTAAGTATGAAATTGTTTCAGAAAACGTGTCATTTAAGCGCAATGCTTTTCCAAAATAGTGAAAAAGAGGGTCCTGTTAACGTCCATTTTCTCTTACCGTAACCGGTTGTCAATCGTAGTTCCCGACTGTGGGTCTGAAACAGGAATGAAAACCAAATCCTAACCTGTTTCATAAAACAAACCGTTTAAATGTTAGATATTTTCATCATATTGAAGGAAAGGATTGTGTTAACGTCTAGTTTTTCTAACCGTAACCGGTTGCCAATCGCAGTTCCAGATTGTGAGTGGTTAATGTTTGGAAGAAGCGAATGTGAAAAGTATCATATGTTAGTGCAGTGAGCATATGCAAATTTTATTCAGCGCGAAAAAGTGACCGTTTTCACGTCCACTTTTACTGGTTGTTACTGGCACACAGTCGGGAACGTCGATTGGCAGCCAGACAGGCCCGAAAAGCTTGGCACGTTTAAACGCGTTTTTTCATTTTTTTTGTATGCCTGGGTAGAAGAGAAATTCAAATTAAAACCGAAGATATCACTCAGATTATTCCTAACTGCACGATAAAACATTTCAGATTATTTAGTCAAAATCGAACATCAATGATCATAATGAAACTGGAAATGGCTCAATAATATCATGATAATGAGAATTTCAACTTAATCAAACTTTAAACACATCGTGCAAGCTGATTGTGATCATTATCGAAATTGGAAAGTGAGAGAAGGAAAAAGTACTGGAATTTCTTTTTTTATGAAGAATATATGAATTCAGATGACCTAGGTTAGCAAGAACAGAGAGAAATAGACTTGCCAGTATGTTTTAGGCAATATCAGTTGTATGGTGGCTAGATAATGATTGTAAAAATTGATTCATATTCCTATCCCAAATGGCATTCTCTAACTGCGTAACCAATATTCATTCGGCTGGACTCTGAAGAGAATTTGCAACACTTCGAGTAAAGTTTAAAGTTTGTCAGCGACCGTAGTCACTTTTATGTTTGCCAAATCATTAAAAATATTTTGGAGAAAAAAAAACTTTTAACAGCATAATGTGGTTCACCATTCGACTAGACCAAATGTTTCAGTCGACATATGATGAAGCTGCACTTATGTGACAGAAAAAGTGAATTTTATTGTTGATAAGTTCTTTTCTAACGCAGTCGGACTATGGCTAAAGCTCAACAATAAAAGGATCGTTAATTTGTTTGATGAATAAGGCTTTATTAAATATTTCAACATAACATCAAATTCATTCTTTGATATGAAAACGTGTCAAGTGATCAGTAGAGTTGTTGAGAAAAATGAATTTCTATTAAAATCTAAACAAAAATTTGTGCCAAGTACAATGCTATTAATCTGTGATGATCATCTCGGCATAACCATGTTTGAGCTTTTAGTGAAAGTTCGTGAAAATTCCGAAATGCGTTCAACAAGTTCCGATGAAGTTTCGAAAGTGTACAATGAAGCACAACAAGTTTTAGTCTTTTTCAAGAAACTTCTGAATATTGCCAAAACTGTCTCAAAAGAAATTTGATGAACTGAGTTTCAAAGTTATTTGTTTATCAATTTTTGAATATTTCCTAGAAGTTTCCAAATGATTTTTGCTTTCTGAAAATATTTTTCTTTACATAAACCGATAAAAAAAAGTAGTTTTGAAATTTTCTGGTAATTGTAAATGGACTTCGTATTGTATGAAGAGGATATCTCAGAAGGTAGATCTTTCCTATAGAAGTGATCAATATTCAGATCACAAAAGACGCAAGACTGTCAATCGATGGTTATTATCAAAACAATCAAGTTGTTACTTTTCCATTTTCACACACCATTCAACTGCCAATGAATAACGGTGCATTTTTATTATCATTCAATGATGACTTCAATGTTTTGTTTTCACCTCGCATAGACTATTGTAAATACTCAGTGTAATTGAAAAAGAACCTAATATACATCATATTGATGATGAGACTATGTCCATCGATCAAGTTATTCTCTGAAGTTCCTATTGCTAATCAACATATCGTTCATGTAAATGACTTTAGTCTTCGTGTGTTTTTTTTGGATGAAACTTGAATTCGAGTGCTTCGATAGATGAAACACAAAGACAATATTGCCCCTATTGATAAAGATTCCGATAGCTTCAGAATCGATGATGGTCGAAGTGACATCAGTGAACAAATTCAAAAAATTCACAATGCATTCGACGAGAAATCCGATTGATTGAATAACTTCTCTATTGTGTTAATTGTAAGTATTTATAATCATCTGAGATGTAGAACTGACTCTATTTTTATTTTGAAGAGAAGAACGAAAGTGGAATCTTTCTATTTTGTTAAAAGAACACAGTGTTCAATATGATTTATGGATGTTTTGAAGGGATAAATCAATATTGAAAAGCGTAAGTTTTCATCGAATTTTAGAAGAAAATGACAAGTACGACCCATTGTATTGATTGACTAACAAAAGTTTCATAACAAACAGCGTTCATGATTTCCTGGATCTTTTCGACTTGTATATGTTTTGTTTGAGCTGCCAGATTTAGATTTCCCTCTGTCAATAATGAAATCAAAATCGATTAAATTTGTAATAGAAATATCGTTATCATTCTTGAAAATACGCAACAAAATTAGTCAAAATGAGAGAATGACTGACAAAAAAGATGGACAATATCCATGTTCAAGAGAATTTGGATTAATTATCTGAGATCAAAAAACCAATCACAAGTAAACATCTCCATTGAGCCAAATTGATTTCGATGTGAATTCATCTGAATATCGATGTATTAAAGTAAAAGATTATCTGGCGAATCAAATGAATCGACAAAAATGTAGAATAAATGCAATGAAGTCAACGATAACTTGATACAGAAATGTAGAAGCAGAAAAAATAAACAACACATGTGAATAATCTATTCTAATCAATATCTTTAAAGAATATTCGATGAATGACAACATAACATTGTATGGAATATAACTTTATGAAAGAAACCCCTGTGTTGACTAGAACTTTTCGTGTTTATCAGGAAGTGAGTGTGAATGTATGAGAGTTGGTAACTTGATTCTCTTCATTCACACCCTTAGCCCCCCTCCATCTATACTAGCCACATCAGTCGTTGACTGTTTTACCTTAGTTTTCGAATTTGCATATTCAATAAAGCTGGCGACTCAAAAAATACTCATTAGTCAGAACAGTTTGCCAATAGAAAAAGTGCAGCAGCAACTGTTGGAAATCACTATGATGCATTAAAATCGATAATTTCAAGAGGTATAATACCACAGTAATAGAGAAATCAATAGATAATTCATTTGAAAAAGGTGCAAATTGCTTGATCCAGCTGTATTTTGAAAGCAGCTGTTACCAACGATTCTAATGAAATAAAACGAGATCTTCTTTCTTTCGAGCAGTTTACTTGATATATGTAGATGATTCTGTTGTCTCAGATTCAATACTAACCAAATAATACTAATGGGAATATCTCCACAAAAAAAAATAATGTTTCACAATATTTGCTTTGCTGCCATCATCGTATGTTGAAAGAATGACTCATTTCTGTTAAAACAAAAAGAATGTTACAAGTTTGTTTTCTTTCTCTGGCATATGCGAAAAACGTAAGTAGAAAAAAATCGACCTTGGTTCGTATTCTTTTACGTCTGTTGTAGTTACATGGCATCGAAAAAATCAAAAACAGACGTTTTAATAAAAAAAGCTGCTGGTTTATCACTCGATGAAAATGTTAGTGTAAGCGCTCAAGCAGCCAATTTTTATGCAACTCGAAATGAGACTGATAAAATTAATTTTGCTCGTCTTGAAAAAGGACTTCTTTTATTTATTTATGTTTATGAAACAGCAAAAGAGAAGTTGGCAATCGAAATGGCTCTTTGGGATCATCGTCTTTGTTTTTACATGATCAAAGATGGAAAATGTACTAAACCATCTGGTGAATGTTATCATGAACATCAATCAACATATCGACAAACAAATCTGTGCTCTTTCTGGTATATAAATAATGCATGTAAATTTGGTTCAAAGTGTAAACATTCTCATCATTTTGAAGAAGTATTAAAATATCATCAGTTTATTCGTACAGAAACCGAAATGAATGTATATAAACTTATTCGATTTATTCGAAATTTCGCTGGACATTATATTGATTCAGCGATTAAAGATTCAAATGATCAACAAGATTTATATAAAAATATAATTATTGTTATGGTTCATTTAGTGCATATTTTAAGTCCTAAACAGCAGAGTTCAATTGAGCATTTGAATTTATTTCTTGAAACAACAACAATAAATCAATTAATTTCAGAAGATCTTCTTGTTACACTTGAAAAACCCTATGATATTCCAGAAATATTCTTTGATCTTGGTATGAATTTTAATGCTTATTGGTATCGACAGAATGCAAATAAACAATGTATTGATTTCAATCGATTATCATCTGAGTTTATCTCATTTTTCAACAATATCTTCACCGAATACTATGAAGGACGTCTTAAATCACGTGGTGCCAAGGCACCTTGGTGTAGAAATCAGAAAAAAACATAATCACAAAATATTTTCATTTTTTAGTTGACTTATTGTATTTATTATGTAACAAAGTTAACGTATTGTAAAATCGTAAAACCCAGAACGAATCTCAGATCTGGCATTCGACACATACAAAGTCAAATTCGAATTCTTATCGATGAACTAAGAAGAATCAACAGTATTTCAACTAATAAGATCATCAGTTGATCAATTAAGTTTAGACTCGTAAAGTTATGAACTGTTTTATATGCAAAAATCAACTGAATAAAAAACTGTCCATAACTTCGTGAATTTCAATTGAATAAATCTACTGACAATTGTATTAGTCTAATCATCACGTTCAAAAATTTTGGAAGAATACTTTCTTTGCTGAACCAATCGTTGGTCAGGTAATAGAATCACATAAAATAACTTCAAATGAATTGCACTAATCCAGTGGCGTGACTGTTGATAAGAACGGCAATGCCTAAGTGACAAACACAATTAATAATAGAATTTGCATTGTGGGCTAGTCGATCATCTACAGAAACGACAATAGGAGAGGGCGTGGGCGTGAATGTGTATTTGCTCTTTTCGTAGATCCACATCCACACCCATCAGATACACGGATTCTCTCTGTTCTCATTGGAAATAATCGAAACAGATCGACTTTTGTACATTGGATCATAGAAGAAATTGTTTGCTGTCTCAATGTAAATGAGTCTTGCTTTCAATTACATTTTCTCAATCAGAAAGCAAACGTTTGATGCGTGACATTTTCGCAACTGTCGAATGAATTTGAATAACATGTGAAAAAACAGTAAACAATGCACCTTTCAAGTTAATTTATCCATCATTTTTCTGTTCTTTCAAGGAGAGTCAGAGAGAAAATATAGTATGTTTAACGGAGAAAATAGCCAGAACATATCGAAAAAATGATGTCTACTAGTATTTTCATTTGAACGTCCTCTCCTCCACCTCTAAAAAAGTCACTTTTCGTCAGAATGGTCGAAATTAAGATAAATGCATAGGAAGATAGCTCGTGATCTGATCTTTGGTAAACGACAAAAATTTTACTGGGTACCTCTTTCAAAAGCGTTTCAAGATTTCCGTCATCCTTTGTTCGAAAAATAAACTGCTTTCAGAAGAAATAGAAATTTGTTTTCGTTTTTTCTCCGTTTATAGTTTTTCAATCGCACAAATCATATTTCTCTGTCGGTACTCATTCTATATATTTATTTATTTTTTTGTTTGGAAGAATACCTCAAGACGTAGTGCAGTACAGACCCTTTTTTTATTAAGCTTTCCTTTTACTATAAATACAAACATTTATAAAATTAGAGCGCTATTTTTAGAGAGTCTATTGAATCATTGAATTTTTGATTCCTTATTCTCCATTAAAAAAGTAAGAATTTAAAAAGGAAAGAGCTCTGTACTGCACTGCATCCTGACATGCTCTTTCAAATAAAAAAGAAATTAACTATATAGAGCGAACCTAAACAGAAAAAATTGGTTTGCCAAATGAGTTATTTTTGACCCTTGTCTGATCAATATCTCCTTCAAGCATCATGATATTGGACTGAAAATTTCATCATAGCCTGTCCACTAACATCTTCAACATACCCTGAAAGATTCATGCCATTTATACGTATCTGGGCTGAGATCGGTTTTTGAGGGAGGGGGGCTTGAGCAGAAGAATGACTAATCTAACAGAAAATAGCTTGTAAAGGTTGTCTCTCTAGTTCGACGTTTAAAAGTATTCAAATGGCGACAGTTTCAATAAACACCGAAAGACGTGATCAGCGCAGAACATACAACTTGCATGGTTTCAATGTTCCTTATATCTTACCTTTGCTAAGAAAACTAATGTTGAACATGAATCTACAGATAACACGTGAGGGAGACTCATCAATAAATGTTGCTTTTCATTTCTGAACATATATTATTAGTCTTCCAGTACTCTCTTTAGAGACTGTTCTCATTTATCACGATCGAGCAATCCACGTTACTCTTGAAACATTAGAGGTAGGTGAAATCTTAGGCCGAGGAAATCTTGGAAATGTGGTTGCTGTTGGTATTAAAGATAAACCGAATATTCAAATGGCTGTAAAAGTACGAACTCATTTTTTTTATGTATTCGAAACTCTATGTAGTCTCCTCTCAATAAAGTATTATCTTGTCAAAGGCTCAGAAAAACGTCTTCAGTCAATGATTGATTTATCCATGATTCAATCGACTAATTCTCATCGACATCCATTTTTCATCAGTTATTATGGAAGTATGATCGATCGAGTAAGTATGACTCTAATTAGATGAAATTGCACTCGTATTGTGTTTAAGACAGCAGATGAGCTGCTCATTTTCATGGAAAAGATGGACACATCTATGAATCGATTTTATCAGAGCATGCACTCACTTACTAAAGTGACATTTGATGAACTGAATCGACTCCTTTGTCGTTTGATAAATAATGTAAGTTTCAATTTATCATTCGTACAACTTTGAATTATTCTCTGTTAAACAGATCACATTGGCACTCGATTTCCTGGAGAGGCATCAAGTATTGCATCATAATATCAAGCCTAAAAATATTCTAGTAAACTAGCAGTCCGTTTTCAAATTGAGTGATTTTGGTGAACCCCGTTTTGCCATTCCATCTACGACTGTAGCCGTTGCTCTCATTTAAAATATGATTCACTATGTTTCAGTATGTAGAGAAATATTGTAAGTTCCATATCTATTGGAGTGGTTTTCTTTTAGCCTGAAACAATCGATAGCATTAACCATTGTGATATTCATGCTGATATGTAGTCACTTGGCATCAGTCTAGTTGAAATAATCATGGAACAATATCTCCTAGATGAACAGATTTATTCACCATTCCGGCCGAATAAAAATTGGATACCACAATTGCCATCAAATCAAACTATTTCAGATGAAATAGACAATTTGATTCGACAATTGTGCGTTTATCTCTTTGTTGCCTTTTGTAATAATTATCCATGTTCAATTTAGACTGAAAATTGATTGGCATGCACAACCAAAAACTTACGGTGAAATACTTGAAATTCCATCGATTCCAAATGTCACTGAAATACCATGAAATGAAGAAGTAGCATATATGACTTGTGTCATCGACAAATTTTCGCCTCTGTTGCTGGACGAGCTGGATGTGGATGTGGGTGTGAGGAGGGTATGAAACGTACTCATTTTCAGAAAATTCAAAAATTTTCCAGTCACCACGGGAGTAATGATATTTAGAAAGAAACATTATTATGATGGCCAATAGTACCTTTGTAGATGGATTGATACAAATGGGTATTCATATATTTAGTAAAGGTGCGGGCGTGTTCTTTCGTAACTCCATTCACTCTCACTCCCACATCCATACCCTTTTGTTTCAGTTTTATTTAGTAAGAGAGCATTCAAAAGTACACAGGTTGATGTTGTATGCATCTTGAAGAAGTTTTACTTTATTCAGACTTCCAAAGAATGATTTTCTAGGAATTTTCTTTGCACATTTTTATCATCTGTCTTTTTTCTCTCGAACACTAACGACTAGATTTAGCTTTTTCCACGTCTGAAACAACAATTAATTATGTATAGATCACAGTACTTTTCCATTCGAAAAAAGAGAAAAAGTTCGAGATAACTGTAAGCACAATAAAATAAAAGTTAAAAACTATATATTTTTAAAGATGTTTTTCACCGGTTTTAGAGCGAAACCTTTTTCACAAATTGACATGTCAACAAGCTGTCTATCGTTTATGGTCAAAATTTTATCATACTATTTCAAATGACTGTATGCAACGGCGTAGACCAAAAAGAGGATGGTCTCCATATTGCATCAGGTTTAATCGCTCGCGCATGTTTTTGAATCATCACTAGAGTTAATAAGTCAATGAATTGGATATTATCAAACTTGCAAGAGTGAAGTGACAATACACGATAAATATGCCATATAAAACCATTTGAAAAGATATAATAAAACTAACCGTGAACTATAAAAGTCTGCTTGACACTACAACTTGTGAAGAAGTTTTTGCTCTACGAACCTGAAGCCTGTTTTCATCCTTCGCTGTGAAGCAGAGACGTGCATCAGTTCAATAGTCGAACATAATGATACTATATAAACCAAAGATGTCTCTCTCTGTTCTTCATATTGGGTGCTTTGCAAATATTAGAATTATGAGGTTGCAGCAATTTTTCAGGGTTTCGTGATATTGAAATGAGTTGTCAATTTCGACTGATATTTTCAATAAAAATTCCAATTGACAACTTGGTTTTATAGAGTTTTCAGTCACGTGCTTCTTTTTTAATCAAAATCGTTATTGCTATCAAAAGAAATTGTAACAGTTTAGAAAACGCTCAAGGAAGAGGATAGCCAATACTTGCTGAGTGTTCTCCCTTCAGGAATAACATTTTTTCATTTACGCTAAGCAAAAATATGATTCCCATCAGAAAATTGTAAAATATTCGAAATCACAATAAAATAAAATCTGATCTTTATAGAGAATGTAGACCAGGGTGAGAGGTGAGCTTTAGGTGTTGGTATGCATAAAAGGAAGATGCAAGCGCACACACAAACTCACACCGCACTCTTCCACACATCGTACACCCTATTTACTACGTACTTATGGAGAAAAACAATATCTTCAATGGATACGAAATGTGACCCACTGCTTATTTTCAGTCCATTCCACTATATGTTTTGGGGTGGGTGTGGATGTGATGTGTGTGTTAAAGTAGTGTATTATGAAAGCATCCGGGTGTGAGATATTTATGTGACTCTGGGTGTCTGGGTGGTTCTTGCTACATATATAATGTGAGTGCAGCTATGCTGATGGAATTGAGAAGAAAATCCACCAGTACATCCAAACTTCCACTTTTTGAAGTCCATGCATGATAGAAGGTTTTGTCTTTATATCTTTCTTTCCTGTGAGTGTGTTGAGTGTGATAATAATGGTAATGTCTAAGTGGTAAACACAATTAATAATAAACTTTGCATTGTGGGCTAGTATATCATCAGCAGGAATGGG